TTGGGAATTGGGGGACGTGGGGATTGGGGAATGTGGAAATTGGGGAATTTGGGATTGGGGAATGTGGGAATTGGGGGACGTGGGAATTGGGGAACGTGGGAATTGGGGAACGTGAGAACTAGGGAACGTGGGAACTGGGGAACGTGGGAACTGGAGAACGTGGGAATTGGGGAATGTGGAATTGAGGAACTTGGGAATTGGGGGACGTGGGAATTGGGGAATATAGGAATTGGGGAATGTGGAATTGGGGAGCTTGGAATTTGGGAATGTGGGAATTGGGGGACGTGGGAATTGGGGGACGTGGGAATTAATTGGGGAATGTGGGAATTGGGGAATGTGGGAATTGGGGAATGTGGGAATTGGGGAATGTGGGAATTGGGGAATGTGGGAATTGGGGAATGTGGGAATTGGAAAATGTAGAATTGGGAAATTTGGAATTGGAGAATTTTGCACTCAGCAAATTATAAATTCCGGAATTTCGCTGACTTAAAAATTCAGAAATTTGGTACTTGGTGCTAAGAATTTTCCAAACTTAATATCTCATGTCTTAAAAATTTCAGAACACCAATATAATTTCACCCAACACCTACTTGAAAATTCCTCCATCAATTCCAAATGTAATAATCCAGAAACTTTCTCCCTCTCCCACATTTTACCTGATAAAATCTTCAAATCGTTCCACTTAATGAACAGCAGCATAGCTTGGGGCACAACAAAGCTGCTAATCGACGCGACCGCCACAAACAACCTCAAATACGCGAATATTTGTCCACATAACGACCGCTTCTTATCACTAAGCGATATTCCGAGAGTAGTACACAGAATTTTATTCGGGAGTATGTAGTAATCGATCGAGTTGTTAGATTGTTTCTTCATGTTCTCCCTCTTCGCGAAGTAGATCGTCTGTCTTCAGAGCTCGTTATACGCCTCATAGACCGTAGCTCGCAACTTACAATTGTTCGCATCAATATTACACAATGCAGAGTGTTTTGATCGAGTCTTCGCATCAATATTACATACAGCAGTTTTCTGTCTTGACGACAATTTGTTATATTAATTTAATCGCCAGTGTGGTGAATAATTTGTATGATTTAGCCTGTACTTTGATGGACTTATTTGAGAATGTCTTCTAATAATGTTGCAAGTTTAATGAGTTTAGGGTACGCGGTAGTTGGAAGAAATTGCAGGTAGGGTGTATAGGGCTGTCTACGAGGCACATTTTCGCTTTAGACTTCGGAGGGAAAGGATGTGAGAAATGTGGACAGTTATAGTAACACAGTTTTGTTATTATGGAATTCTCGTTCGTTTGTAATACTCGTTCTAGTAAGCTGCTTTCTGAGGTTTGGATATTTTTCTATTTAATATAAATGTATGCTTTGTGACTTATTTAAATTATAATATGAAATAATTATTGATTATTACATTTTATAATATTGTGAAAAATTGAATTTTTGGATTAGTAAAATTGTTGGATGATAAAGTTGTTCTTCACATTTTTTATTTATATTTTATTTTATATCACGAGTATAATACTACTATAGTTACTCCCTCAGTCGGTAAATTTGGAAAACTATTGAATTTTTTACAAATTATAATTTTCGTTGCAAAATTAATTTTATAAACTTATATAAGCAATGTGAATAATTCAAATTATCTCATTATTAATTTATTCGTTATTCACAAGGAATTTATAACACAATTTTAAAATAGGTAGTTCTTGTACCGATATTTGAGAAGATACAAACAAGATTCATAAAAAAATATCAATTATGTTAGATGAATCGTTTTGGATTCATATATTTAATTTATAACATTATTGAAGGGGTTGTTTTTTATGACAGTTAAATATTCTTATTTAATAATTAATTTAAATTTTACCATTAGACGGTAAGATAAGATGAGATACTATCTTATCGACCAACGATATTTACCATTTCATAAATTTATTTTAATATTTTAAAAATTTGAATGTTCAGTATATATTAATTTACTCTTTCCATAAGTCATATGGGAGTTATTCGTATTCCTTCAATAATTCAATAAAATTATAACTGCTATGTTAATCAAATTATTTAGAAGTGTCAGTACATTTTATTAGAACTACACAATTTTAATTTATACTTAAATTTTTAATTATAACGTCTGTTCGGAATTTCCAGAGAATTCGTTTCAAATTTGGCGCGACAATGTTTGGCGGCCATATTGCAGCGCCCTCGCGTCAGTGAAGCCACGCATTTGCGATTTGAACGCGTCGTTGTGAACTGTGCGCTTCAAGTTAGTGAAAAGTGAAGGAAATCTACGGAAATAACATCCTTTCAAGGTTGGTAAGTACACGTTCTACTTTTTCCTCGATACTAACACATAATTTACTGTAATATTTAGTTATTAAGAATTATCCACTCTCATATCGAAATTTTACTTTCTACAACTACTTGTAGTTTCTGTAGCTACGAGTTTGATTCGTATTTTCGTGTTGATAGTTTTTTCGTATTTAAGTTTACTATAGAAAAAGGTTATTTGTACGAATTTCTATTTAAGTGTGCCATAAAAAGCAGTCATATTTGTACGAAAATTATAATAGCTGTACTATAACCTCAAAAGCGCGGGAAAACGATAGATTTTAAAATTGATTTCATAACTGCTTGTGATACTTTAATTATTCACTTGTACAGAAATAAAATAAAATAATAACACATATAAAATATTCGTTACATAAACATTATTGGAAACAACATAAAATAACAGATTACATAAAATAACATCATACAAATAACATTACACAACAATATTGGTATATCAATGTTACACAGTCAAGTCGTACATAAACAAACCTGTACATAAATCCCTAAAAATGTGAATATAATAAATTATTCTAAATTTATTACAAATTAATGTAAAAGTACAAATTAACGTAAAAGTAGATATAAGTCAAAAGTAAATATAAGTTTCAAATATTTCCCCCAAAACTCCAACAAGAACTCCCCAAATTAAACACAAAATTCCTTCCATAAAGCAAATTAGCAGCAGTTGTACAGATTCATTAATTTAACGAAAAGATTGCGCCGGTATCCCAGCGCAAAACGATGTACACGGTCCGTAGAGTATTGTTGACGTATAATGTCTTCCTTCCGAGGTCGTTGGTTAGCTGCCTAAGGGAACTCCGTATCTTGTAGGATAATAAATAATTTAGTCGTGGAAGTGTTGCAAGTTATTACTGCCTGGCCGACAGAAGGAAGCTCGTATCATATCAGATTTATTTAAGACGTGCCATGCTTCCACTCCTTTTTTTCCTACGACCCATACAGCGTGACCCACTTCCTTCGCTCTTATCACTTTCACGATTGTTCTTTCAGAGGTAAAATATTTTTATCAGGGGCTGGTATAAATTACATGCCGCATTTAATTACTTGTACATTGGGGTCAGACCTTAAATAGACTTTTTGTAGAAATTTTTAATACGAGGTGGGTCAAATTTTTAATATGAAGTGGGTCATACTTTTAATACGAAATTGGTCAAATTTTCGATGCAAAATGGGTCAAATTTTCAGTACGAATCAGGTGAAATAATTTTTAGAAGATCAATAGAAGGATAATATGGTTGTCGGTCAGTTTGACAAGATGAATATCCAAGTGGGGAGTTATCACGCGCTGAATTACCATGCGTAGAATCACTAAGTGTGGAATTACCACGCGCTAAGTTACCAAGCGTAGAATGACCAAGCGCTGAATTACCAAGTATGGAGTTATCATATGTCAAAGTATATAACGCTTGAAGATACAGAGCAAGGAATTACCAAGCACGGAGTTATTATGTGTGAAAATACTCAACGCGTGCAGATACAGCGCGTAGAATTGCAAAGCATGGAACTACCAAGCGTGTAATTACAAAGTGTAGAATTACTAGGCGCTGAATTACCAAGCGTGGAATT